AGTTCTGGATTACCTGGAAACAAAAGCAAAATCAAGCAAACAAGTAACATTGTCATTGAGTATATCCCAGCCCATGGTGAACCTGCAGCATAGAAGAGAACTGCTCCACAGACTTTCAGAGGCTGTAATCTTTATAGTAGCAGACTCTACCACAGAGCAACTGATGGGTTTGAACCTGCAACGTTTTGGTTAGCAGCTGCACCCTTAAGCTCTGGGCCACAAAAGCACCCTCATAGAATTCCTTTGACTAATTATTTTGAGGCCATGGTCACCCCTTGGAATCATCTGGATCCCACATACAGATATTATAATGCATTTTGGTTCTAGTAAGCCTAGACATTGAGGTAGTGGTGGGAGGGGTTACCTTCCGAAAGCTTCCCAGGTGGTTCCAATGTGCCAGTGTTAAGAATCCCTGAACTAAGTCTCTTGGTAAACTGAAAATCTCTTATTCAGATACGTATATGTTACGCTCTTATCGTTTTCCATGGTTTTTCTTTTCCAAACAGTAAGATAAGGTGCTTGAGAACTAGAGGTGGGATAGTAGAATAAAACATGAAGAAGATAATTTTTGTTAGAAAAAGGAACTCTAGATCAAGGAAGTCAAGTTATTGTAGAAAGCAATGAAGAGCTCAGAAAATCAAGGGCAAAATAAAGTGAGAAACTCAGTAAAGGTTATTAACAAGATAAAACAAACATCAAATTTCTAGCAACATCTGACCAAGCATCTTCTATCTTTCTATTCCTCTCAACTGACTCTTTATTTCCATGTTTCCAATGCAGGAAATAACATCACTTGCCAAGACCCAGTAATAGGTGTTGGGGAGCCAGGGAGAGTAATACGGAAACTGTGCCAATTCTCCAATGTCCCCAGCAGCCCTGGCAGTCGCATTGGTGGGAACATCACTTACAAATGTGAAGGCTCCCAGTGGATGGTAAAGAGAAATGATTGCATCTCGTCTGAAATAAACAGTCTACTTGACCTGGCCAAGGTGATCCACAAGTCTTTGACTCCAAACTCCCTGGGAATAACTGTCTGGGTCCTCTTGTTTCCCAGTCTTTAGGAAAATGCGCCTTGGGCTAGTTTGGGTTGCATTCAAAGCTCCTCTTATTTCTCAGTTTCCAAACAGGATGCAGTAATTTTTAAATGCTTATATATAAACATGGTGCCAATAAAACATAAGCTTTTCTCTAGGACTAGCTAAATACCTTGACTTTAACATCTCAATACCTTATTTTTATTACCTGTTAAACTGTGCCACTGCTACTGGAGTCAGGTGGTATCTCATTGTCATTTTGATTTGCATCTGTCTTCTTGCTGGTTATTTGGAGCATTTCTTCATGTGTCTGTTGACCATTTGAATATCTTCCTCTGTGAAATGTTTCCATGTCTTTTGTCCATTTTGTAACTGGGTTATCAGTCTTTTTCTTGTGGTGGCCCAGAAATATCCTGTAAACTTTCGTTATGAAACTCTTTTTCTGAGCTGGTATTACCAAATGTTTGTTCCCAGACAGTAGATTTTCTTTTCACCTGTTGAGAAAAGTTTTTGATGTGCACAGGGATTTAATCTTTAGAAGGTCCCATTCATCAATTTTACCCTCTTCAGACTGAGCATTTCTGGCTGTATTTGGCAGTCTCTTTATACCATACACTAGGCCTTCTAAGCTTGATCACAGTTTTGTTTGTCTCTTATGAACTTTATCGTTTTGGGCTTTGCTCCCAGGTTTCTGATCTGATCCCCGTTAAGTTGATTTTTGTGTATGGTGTGAGATGTGGATTCTGTTTCAACTTTTTATTTCTATTTTCTACAACAGGTACACAGTATTTTCTTCTCCTTATTGCTCTCCTTGTAATTATTTTGAGATCAAGCAAATAACTTTAATCTTTCCTAGCATGAGGTGCAATATGTAAAAGTCATCAATGCAAAAAAATAAAATTTGAGATTTATGTTTTCAGAAATCTGAGATGTCCTCAATCCTTAGCTAAACAATAGTTACATAAAAGGAGCTGCCCTAGGAATTAGAATATTTAGTGATCTACTTCTGAAAATCGTGGCCTGCTTCCAAAAACTCAGTGGCAACTAGAAGAGGAATTAGAAGATGGGGGATAGATTTTTTTTAAGGATAATCAGGAAGTTCTCCTTGGATAATTTAGCATCTGAGTTGGGCCTTAGTGGATAAAATGTAAGGGATGTAAATTATTTTAATTGAGAAATATATAAATTCAAGTTCAGAGATATAAATTCAAATTTGAGTTGGGCTTTGATCCCTGATCTGAGTACGTAGATGCATTTTCAGTGAAATGAGGCATGCAGATGTATCAAGTTCCATTTACTCTATCCTTTGATATACATGTGTTTAATATACATTTCTTAAATGCCTACTGTGTTCCGGAGAGCTCTGCTGGCATAGGCTGTAGGGAGTTGTGCTGTTAACCCAATGGTCTCACCTCTCTGACAGTTCAAATCTATCAGGGGATTTACGGGAGAAAGATGGAAAATCTCCTCCTGTGTGATTTAGAGCTTCAGAACTCCAATGGGCAGGTCAGTTATGAATCAGTTCCAACTCAACAGCAATGAGAGTAGTTGCGTCTTTTTTTACTATTCTGTACCAGATTAACTTACTCCCACCTTGTTGAAGTTCTGAAGAGCAAGGTTGTCAATTTAAAGACAAGCTGCTCCTGATCCAAACTATGATATTTTAAATTACTTCATGTGAAAGAAATTGCATGTGAAAAAGGGCAGACTGAAAATTAGTTGATGCCTTTGAGTTGTGGTGTTGTAGAAGAGTACTGAATATATCATGGTCTTCCAAAAGAACAAACAAATCTATGTTGGAAGAGATACAGCCAGAATGCTTCTTGGAAGCAAAACTTGTGAGTCTTCAACCCCGCCTACTTACAGATGGAGAATCAGTGAAGGAGAGAAAGTCCTTTAACAAGATGGATTGACATAATGATTGCAACAGTGGATTTAACACAGTGCAGATTGTCATTATAGGACAAGGGCGGCAAGAATTTGACCTGATACATACAAGGACACTATGAGTCAGCATTGACTCAATGATATGAACAACAACTGTATTGGACTTTGTGGGGTGTGAGGAAGATTAAAAGAAATACAACATTCAATTCGTATTTTTGTCTTAGAGGGTTTATATTTTAATTGGAGAAATCATATTAAAGTGTGGCATTATACAGCTGTTACAGAGAGGCTATGTAAAGTAAAATAAGTATTTCTGCATTCAAAGGAAAGAACTACTTAGGATTGGAGCATTAATTAGAGGCTTTATGAAGAAGACAGCTAATGTGCTTATTCTTTTAATATACATAGAAGTTAAATGGAGTCCCTGGATGGTGCCAATGGTTAGCATGTTCAGCAGCTCACTAACAGGTTGAAAGTTTAAGTCCACCTGGAAGAGGTGACTCAGACCACACATCTGATAATCTATTTCTGAAAAAGTTGGCTGCTGAAAATCCTATGGAACATGATCTTCCCTGATATACTTTGGTGGCTCTGAGTCTGAATCAATTCAATGGCAACTAGAAAAAGAATTAGTTTAAAAAAAATAATAGAGGTATGATTTTTATAGGTAGGAAGGCTGTGATTTGTTGCCTAAACCAAGACTCTTTTGAAAGTAAAAGGAGGCACTGGTAGTGATTAAACTGAAAACAGCAGATATAATCAGAATTGCTCCAGGTAAACTGGGGTAGGCAGTTACTCTAATCATCAGCAGACAAGCTACATGAGATATAGCAAAGAGTGGGAGGTGTGCCTCCGGAAGCCTATTGAAGTGCCAACTTTGCTGAATTGTAATCACATTCTACAGCAATCACATCTGCCTACATTCTTTTTTCACTCAGTCATCAGACTGGCGTAGCTCTTTCTATTACACCTCCATGTGTGAGGCCTTAGGTAATATTCCATCATGAATAGCATGCACAAGAGATGAGCAAGGTATTTCAACAGAACATGGAATGTTATAGCAAGTTCTTGCCAAAGGATAGAATAGGCAAGGAGCTCAGGTGAGAGGGTGACCTGGCTGGGTTACCTCAGAAAGACTTCCTAAGGAAAGAGACCTTTGAAACTGGGTGGTTTTTTTTTTTTAATTATTATTAAATTTTATTGGTTTTAATGAACATTTACAGAGATTTTGGGTTTTTATTCATTCATTGTTGCACTATTTTCTCTACCCTCCTCCGCAGTTCGTTCTTCTTCCCTCCCCCCGAATGTCTGTTTTAATTGTCCAATTGCCACAGTGCTTGTCAAAGCCAGTTCTGATTAATCTCCTTTGTCAGTGTGTCCTTTGCCATTCCCTATCACTCCTCCCTGAGAGAGACTTCACCCTGATTCATAAGGAAAAGGGGATGGTGTATTCTCTTAGCTACTTCCTGCTGAAAAGGGATGCTGTGGGTTTCAGGGTGAAGATCTTCTCTCACTACTCTAAAGGGCCCCTTTGGCAGTAGGAAACACATAGACTATTATGGAGATTGATTTTGGAATTTAGATGCACTGTTATTAATTGTGCTTAGCCGTACATGTTCATATCCTTGAAGATGTATCATGGAAGTGTTGCAACCTAGAAGACACAAATTTAACTAACAAGTTAAAAGTACATGAGTCAAAAATTAACAAGCAATAATATTCCGAGTAGAAGTTCTAGTAGTGGCACAAATCAAGTTACAGAGGGAAGGTGGTTCTTATAATAAAAGGCCTATAGACTAGCACTTTGTCTATTATAGTGTACAGGTTAGGAACCACAAGATGTAGAGGCTCAGCTATGTCATTTATGCTTCTGAAGTCCTGGAGCAAATTCCATCTACCACTGGGCTGTTTTACAACTCAGAAGTTCACATGCAAGGTAGAGGTGAAGTAAGGAACTTCTTATGAGGTTTCCTGTCCATTCCAACAATTAAGAGATAGTGAGAAGAGTTGGGACCTCAGAAGGCTGTTAGGACCAATTAGTAGGCTCTGTGTCCAGGAGAAAATGAATATACTTACCAGTAATGTTAATGCTCATCCATGGCTTTTCTGGGAGGATCTAAATCGTTGAAGCATCCTCCTTTGTTTCCAGCTGGGAGCTGGGGCCTGTCAGTCCTGTCTGCCACGAGGACCTGATGTGGGCCACCATGGCCAAGCGCCCTTCAGAGCTACACTTGGAACTGGGTCCTTTTAGATAGCCATGCTTACAAAGAATGAGGAGAGGAATAAGAGTAAGGAAGGAGCTCTGGCAGCCTAGTGGCAAGAAGCTGTACTGCAATCCTAAAGGCACACTGTTCAAATTCACCACCTGGTTTATGGGGAAATGAAGGACAATTTCCTGCTGTGCAGTTAACTGCCTCTGAAAACCCACCAGAGGGTCAGCTATGGGCTGGTTCTGACTCGATGATACACAACAACAACAAGGAGAGAAGCATTCTAGATTTGGGGGGGGGGGCGGATGGATGAACAAAAACCTAGAGGTTAAAGAGAGCCAACTAGGTTCCAACGACAGTAAGTATGACAGAAACTTCAGAGATTTAAGTGGTTGTTAAGTGCCAGCGAGTTAACTACAACTCATCATGCCCTGTAAACAGCAGATAAGAACTTTAGTCTACCCTGCACCACCTTCCTGATAGTCAACATTGTTAAGCCCATGGTAGAGTGGTAAATACGCCTCCTGAAGACTACCAAAGCGCCAGCTTTGCTGAATTGCAATCACATTCTGCACCAATTCTGCTTATATTCTTCCCCCCCATATTCGTCTATATATTCTATATTCTTTTTTTTTTTTCAATCAGACATCAGACTAACATGGCTCTTTCTGTTTCTCATTGTGTCAATCCATCTCCTTGAGAGGCTTCTCTTTGGCTGACCCTCTGCCTTGCACAGCATGGTATCTTTTCCCAAGGATTGACTCCCTTAATAACATGCACAAAGGACCTAAGGGGAAGTTTCTCCAACCTTACCTCTACAGAGCACTCTGGTTGTATATCCTCCAAGACAGGTTTGTTCGTTCTTTTGGAAGTCCGGGGGATAGTGAGAAATTATAATTTGAAAGGTAAATATCTCTAGTCATCAAGAACCTTGAATGTATTTAAATTATCAAGTCTATCTTGCATGTGGATTATGTGCTAGGTGTCAGGTCCCTCAAAAGTGAGTGAAATACAGACAGAAAGGTGACTTTCTCTATGAGAATAAACCTCTGAACATCAGAAGAATTCTGCTGAAATGTATGTAATAACCTTGACAGTGAGAATGGAGTGGAAAAAGGAAACTGGGGACGTGAGGGATCACGGATAGATCAATGGAATCTGATGAGAGGACTGAGTAGTAAGGATTTTTATTAATTTGGTTTTTGTTTGTTTGTTTGTGTTTTACAAGGCCTTGATCAAGAGCCCTTCTCAGGATGAAAAGCTTCCTAAATACCTTCAGAGTCTCTCGATTAGCACAGGCAAGGTGGAAAAGGAACTCAGTATATCCCCTGGTAATCTGGGAGCCATTATTAACATCCTTGATTTGCTGTCAACAGTTCCAACCAAAGTGAATAAAGAAATGATGACGGTGAGTTAATCATTGCAAGACTTTTACATCTTAGCTTTTCAACCCTGCTTTCGCGTTTATCATCAAGAAACATAGTTCATCACCATTTTTGCTCCTTCTCTAACTTTTCCAGAGTAAAGCAGTGTTGTGGATAGTACACCATATAGTCACATAGCATGCTTCCATAGCTATGACTTATGGATGTTGAAGAATTATTCCAAAATTCATTTCAGTACACTAAGAATTTTTTTTACACAATTACACTTTTCCTATTTGTTTTTACCCTTTTTAATTGAAATTGTACAATTATACTGGATTTTCTTTCAGTCACTCAGTCATTTTGTTTTATAATATGAATTGTAATTGATTTAAGAAAATTAATTGAAAGGTATCACCAAACCCTATTGTGTATTGTCTTTTCCTTCACCCAACATATCTATTAACTTTTACTTCCTCCTTTGCATTATTCATTCTAATAAAATTAATTCTTTTCGGATTTTCAGAAGAGAGAGGGATAATAGTTTTCCGAATATGTATAAAATGGGCTTCTCAAAAATTGTTGTTGTTATGTGCTGTCGAGTCACCTGTGACTCATAGTGACCCTATGTACAGCAGGTCTGAATCTTGCCCTGTCCTGAGCCAGTCTCACTGACTCCAACACACCTACCTCCATTGCCCCAGTTACTGTATCAATCCACCTCATTCGCTGTCTTCCTTTCCTGCACTGTCCTAGAAAACGAAATATTAGCTTTGAAGCAGAGTTCAGGAAGAAAGAAAAAAATAATCCATACCTGGTTATTCAAAGCAAGAGGCTCTACTGAAGGGATACATATATAAATGAATTCAGCATTACAAAGTTAACTAGCGGTGATGAGATAATCTGGAGTTGAGCAACATAGAGAAGCCATTACTACTTACAAGTCTAAAGGGAAAGCAGAGGAAATAGTGGCAAGTGAGAGAGGCAGCTGTGGAGGAGGGATTGCTAAACAGAAGCTCAGAGACTTGGAAGAGCACAGCTGTTGCCAGAGCTGCAGTGGGGAGAGAAAAGGGAGGAGTGGGGAGTGGGAAACACATTCCAGCTGGGCTCTTACCAGGTCCCGCCAGGGCCTCCTATTAGTAAATCCCAAACAGAGGCCAACTGGCAAGCTGACCGGGTAACAGAGTCCAAAGGGGTCATCTTCACAGAGGACAGAACAAGGCAAAGAAGGGGGAGAAACAAAAGGGAAATGATGAGCCTACATTTTCAGGAGAGCAAATCAAGCTGGCCGAAAGATTCCTTCAATGACACTTGTGTAGCTCGTTTGAATGCTCAGGTTTTAAGCATTTGAGATCTCCTCCACCTTGCAAGTCAAATCACATTCACCATACACTTTTTTTAAATTTTTTTCTTGTTTTTAAAAATTAATTTTAATGAAAGTTTACAGAGACTTTGGATTTCCATTCATTCATTGCTGCACTTTTCTTCCTGCCCAACCTCCCCCTCAGTTCTCTCTTCTATTTGAAAAGTAAAATTCATTCATTATTGTACAATTTCTCCCTCCAAGTCCACTCCACTATGTAGCATTCATTCTGGACTCCTGTCATGACAATAATACCTAATCATATATACCTTTTAAACAGTTCTCTTACTATACACTCTTACAGACATGAGATTGATAACAACAATAATAAAACCGTTAACAAATGTCTCTGCCAATCTATTGTCTTGCCTTTGGCAAGTGGTGGATAGTGGTTTCTATTATTGGTAACTATTGGAAGTCTTACAGGTTTGGGGCTCCACCCCCTGGCATAAGAGACCAGTCATAGGTGTTCAGTGTCTGAAATGCCTCATATTATCCTGCTGCCCTGTCTTCTTAGCAGTGCCAATACAACCAGTTTCCAGGGGAAAAGTGAGGGGGGGGGTATTTCCCCTCTTTGCTGTTGAAATAATTTATTTGGTTTGATCCCATGTCTTCTCGATTGCAGCATATTCTCTCCACAGTCAGTGCCATTCTCGGAGGTCCCACCCTGAGCACGTGGAAGATTTTGCTGCAACAACAGACCAATGGGAGCTCACGGCTGCTGGATTCAGTGGAGAGGTTTTCCCGCATGTTGCAGTCCGCAGACAGCACCGTTCTGTTCATCTCCCAAGAGAATGTGCAAATGAGGGGTATAGTCATCAAAATGGGACACTCAGATGACTACAACCAGAGCTTCGTTTTCTCAGAAAAGGACCTCTGGGGCAGCGTGGTCATTGACCAGTCCCACCTGGAAAGCTTGGAGACAGAGTCGTCTGTTGTCACGATGGCTTTCCCAACTCTCAAAACCATCCTGACTCAGGACATACAGGCAAAGAATTCTGCAGGAAGCCTGGTGATGACAACCACAATGAGTTATCCTCTAACCACAACCTTCAAGATTTCCATGTCATTTAAGAACAACGAACCCTTAGGCGGGGTACCACGATGTGTCTTCTGGAACTTCAAACTTGCCAATCACACAGGGGGCTGGGACAGCGAGGGGTGCTATGTTAAAGAAGTTCACGGGGACATCGTCTCCTGTACCTGTGACCACTTAACCTCATTCTCCATCCTCATGTCCCCTGATTCTCCAGACCCTGGCTCCCTCCTGAAAATACTGCTGGATATCATTTCTTATATTGGGCTGGGCTTTTCCATCTTGAGCTTGGCAGCCTGCCTGGTGGTGGAAGCTGTGGTCTGGAAATCAGTGACCAAGAATCGAACTTCCTACATGCGACATATCTGTATTGTCAACATTGCTGCCTCACTTCTCGTGGCCGACACCTGGTTCATTGTGGCTGCGGTGATCCATGACCATCACTATCCGCTCAGCGACATGGCCTGCGTGGCTGCCACCTTCTTCATTCACTTCTTCTACCTCAGCGTCTTCTTCTGGATGTTGACGCTGGGCCTCATGCTCTTCTACCGTCTGGTTTTCATCCTCCACGACACAAGCAAGTCCATCCAGAAGGGCATTGCCTTCTCTCTGGGCTACGGCTGTCCCCTGGTCATCTCTGTCATCACAGTAGGGGTCACCCAGCCACAGGATGTCTACACAAGGAAGAATGCCTGTTGGCTCAACTGGGAGGACACCAAGGCCCTGCTGGCTTTCATCATCCCGGCCCTGATCATTGTGGTCGTGAACGTGACCATCACGGTAGTGGTCATCACCAAAATCCTGAGGCCTTCCGTCGGAGACAAGCCCAACAAGCAGGAGAAGAGCAGCCTGTTTCAGATCACCAAGAGCATTGGGGTCCTCACACCACTCTTGGGGCTCACGTGGGGCTTTGGGCTCGCCACCGTGTTCCAGGGGAGCAATGTTGTGTTCCATATTGTGTTTACCCTCCTCAATGCCTTCCAGGTAAGCTCTGAGTACATGGCTCTCGGGCAGTCTCCAATTCTGACGGGACAAATCAACAGTAGAAACACAAACAGGAGTAGGAATGAGGAAGGATTTTAATCGAGAGGAGGCCAGCTGTAAAGAGCAGTAATTACAGAGACTCAGCGAGGTAGAGTGTATGCATTCCTCTGCTTCCATGGAAGTCCATGCCTTTTATCACCAGCATTATAATTTGTTATAGCCTGGAGAGGCTCCTAATGTCACAGGCAGGAAGGAAGTCTCTTCCCTACCCTGGATTTTTCTATTTAGTCTGCACTATCTTGAAGCAGTTTATTATTGCCTAAATGAAAAGGGGACTGACTATATAACCAATCCTATCTCCAGTTCATTTCTGTAAGAACTCAGCGAGCTCTGGCTTTGTGGACAGAGAGATTAGCTCGGGCCTCCTCGTCACCACGTCTCTACAAGCAGCTGCCACCAAGTGTGACTTGCAGCAGCTCCACATGTTTCTGGGCTGAACTACACTCCAAAGGGTTTTCAGTGACTCATTTTTTTGGTTTTTTTCCAGAACTAGTTTATCAGATCTTCCTTTTGGGGTGCCTCTGGGTAGACTTCAGGATCCTTGGTGGCAAAGTTAAAGGAGCTCAAATGTCATAAATATGTTCCTTGCTAACCCTAAGACTGTGCATCTCCATTGGTCTCCATTGGTTCAAATCCACCATAAGTCACAGCTGCAAACACCCTGGGGGCGGGGGGGGTGGGGGAGGGAGGAGTCAGAACTGACCCAACAACAGTGAGTGAGTGAGTGAGTGATGGCATGGAGAGTAACGGGTCAGGCTTCTAACCAAGATGTTGACCGTGCAGATCTGTTAGACATTCTTTGAGAAAAAGATGGGACATTTCCAGCAAAGATTTATAGCCTTGAAAACCTTACGAAGGGGTTGCTATGAGTTGGAACTGGCTTTCTGGCAGGAAGTTTTGAAATTAGGTAGACTTGAACCTCTAATCATTCAATTCGTAGTAAAATTGTTGATCATTGCACCAACACATCCTGGTTCAGCGTAGGTATCCAGTAAATGTTTGGTGAATGAAGTGAATAGTTTGTATTATATAGTAGTTATGTGGAAATGGGTGCCGATGAGTAAAATAGCAAATGTTATATGTAAACACTCTGCTAGATAATGCAAAAAACATTTTTTTAAAGACGTCCTTTTTGCTCCCTTTCTTGTGGTGCATAACTAATTGTAATGTGGGCAGATTTCTAGAAGGGCTGTAACAGAGGTATACAGATAATAAGACTTTGGAGTGCCAGGAATGGGGTGATTAATACTGACTGGACCGGTGCTACAGACAGGGACACTGCCCCAGCATGGAGGGTGCTGTGAGCTGGGGGAGGAGGCAGGGGGTCTGAGGGTGATGATAAGACTTTGTCCATTAGCCACTTGTTCTAAGACCGGGTAGCCCTGTCTTCTGCTGCTGGGCCCATGACTACAAGCTAGTAGAAGGCTTGCATCTAATGAACTTCATAATAACACTTAGTTGAAAGAGACTTATCTAATTCCAAGCTTCACAAGTCCATAATAAATATGTGAAGAATACTGTAGATTTAAGTGTGGTTGGTATCATAACCAGTAGGATATTCAGTTCATGATTATTGTTGTTAAATGCCATCAAGTTGTAGACAACTCATAGCAGCCCTATGAATGAAAGACCTGAACACTAGGATAACTTTTGTCAATTCTCTAAGTTCATAAAGCTTCCAGAAGCAAGCTAGTTCAGAAGTGAATGCCACTCCTGCTTCCAAGTTTGTTTTAATCTGGAAGCTCCACCAAACACTGTCCACCATGGGTAACAATTACCGTATTTGACACATCAATGTCACAGTGTTCAGCATCACAGTAACCACGAGTTACTGCTCGTAAATGGACAGACCAGTACTATACCACTTAGAAGAACGTTTGACCAAAACCAATTAAAAATCAGTTCATGATTAGGGGGGAAATATCACTTAAGGTCCTTTGGTATAGACCTACTACATATTTTTTAATATTATCATGTCCTGGATTCATTCCATAAACTCAAATGTGGAAAGAGGAAGCACCAGTTCAACACAAGGTTAGCAACAATCCCTAATTTATTGAGCAATAGTATATATAATAAATATCATATGTTTATTATTATATATATGTGGTGCTTTAGTGGCCTAGGAGGTGAGGAGCCATGCTGTCAATCCAAAGGTAGGTGGGTCAAATCCACCACCAGATCTTCCAGAGAAAAATAGGGAATATGCTTCTGTATGACTTACAGCCTCTGCAAATCTGTTGGAGAGACACTTCTGAGTTGGTTCTGACTCCAGGGTAATAAGTTTGATGGTTTTTTAGAATTTTATGTACCACTACTGTCAAACACTGTGACACTGATGTGCCACATGTGATAATGGTTATCATGGTGGACAGTATTTGATGGCGATCTCTGATTAAAAAGCAGGACTGACATCCATTTCCAAAATAGCTTTCCTCCGGAAACTATTAACATGGACAAATGACCAAAGTTATACAAAATTCACGTCTTTTGTTCATCTATAACTCGACGGCACGTAACAACAACTGTCAAGTCAGTATTGACTTGTAATGATCCAATAGAACAGAGCAGAACTGTCTCATAGTGTTTTCAAGGCTGGATAACTTTATAGGAGAGGCCATATCTTTCTCCCACAGAGTGGTTGGGGGGTTTGAACCACTGACCTTTTGGTTAACAGTCGAGAACCTTTACTAGAGCACCATTAGTGCCTTGTTTTAAGTTATGTACATATAATTATATATATATATATACACACACACACACATTTATATATTTCTCAATTACAGAATGTCATTAAAATGCATTTCTTCCCAATCTTTTCCCCAGGGATTATTCATTTTACTGTTTGGCTGTCTCTGGGATCAGAAGGTAAGGACAATGACAATCATGCTTCTAGAATTTGTGGTGCTCACGATGAGTTGTGTTGACAGTTTCTTCTTTTAAACAAGGTACAGGAAGCTTTGCTGAATAAGTTTTCACTGTCAAGATGGTCTTCACAACACTCTAAGGTAATTCTTTGCTTTAAGGTAAATTTCTATTTTGTATCCTAATACATTTCACTTCTACAAAATCGCATTTATCTTCTTATAAGAAATGTTCATCTTAAAAAAATAAATGTTCATCTTAGCATTAAGGTCATTGGAGTTGAATGTATTGCATCACAACCCTCTTTTGTTCCACAACTACTGTTTTTAGCGTACATTATTCCATTATTTGGGTTCTTGCCTCTTCTGCCTTTAAACACTCCATGGCACTGTCATTGAGATGTCACCCTCACTTCACATTGGGATTTGATTAGCACAGATGACCTAAACTGAAGGTTAAATGCAAACTTTCAGTGATAAAAAGCTCCTAAGAGAATTGAAGACATTAAAAACATGGTTTGGGGAAGAATCATTAATAGGATTTTCTATAGTTAATTTTGTAAAATACTTAATCTTACCAGTTGATAAGCAGATTTTTACTTGTACCAACTCCGTATGTGTGAGAGTCAAACTCTGCTCGATGAGCTTCCAGTGACTGACTTCACTAGACCTTTCTTCTGAGGTACTTCTGGGTGGACTCAAACCACATAGCAAATACTTGCATTACCTAGTGACTGCAGGCAAGAAATATTACACAGGAATATGTTTTGCTGCATGTTGGAAGATACTTGAAAACTAGTAAAGCATTTATTTTTAAATTCTTTCTCTAATATTGATGTTGGGATTTGAGTACCACAACATAGATAGATTTCCTGTTTGCTTTATTTGTAATAGAAATCCAGCCATTTCAGGTCTCCTAAGAGAGTAATTAGGGAGTTGTCATGGCCTGGTGGTAAGAAGCTGTGCTGCAATTCCAAAGGCATGTGGTTTGAGTCCACCAGCTGTTCCAAGGGAGAAGGATGGGCAGCCTCCTGTTGTGTGGTTTACTGCCTCTGGAAACCCACTGGATGATCAGCTATGGGTTAGTTCCAACTCAACAGCACACAACAATAGCAGCAAGAGAGGCATTAAAGAAGCAGCGCGTCACCACTGTTGTTAGATGCTGTCAAATTGGTTTCAACTCATAATGACTTCATGAAAAACTAACAAAATACTTTCTAGTCTGGTACCAGCCTCACTTTTGTTTCTGTGTTTAAGCCCATTGACACCAACACTGCGTTAATCCATCTCATTAAGGATCTTTCCATTTTTCACAACTGCTCTCCTTTACCATGCTTGGTATGACCATTCATTCCACCATCTACTGTTGTCACATCAATTGCAATTCATAGTAATCCTATAGGTCAGAGTAGAACTCTTGCTAAGATTTCTGAGGCCGCCTTTTCTTCCATAAAGCAGCTGTGGTATTTGAACTGCCAGCCTTAATGGTTATTAGCTAAATATTTTAACCACTCTGCCACCAGGGCTTCAGATGTAATTACTTTGTTATTGTTAGATGCTGTTAGGTAGAGTACAACTCATAGCAACCCTATCTATGTAGAACAGATCTGAACCCTGTCCTATCCTGTGCCAACCTCACTATCTCTGACACACTTAAACCAATTGCTGAAGTCACCATGTCGATCCACCTGGTTGAGGGTCTTCCTCTCTTTCCCCATCCCTCCATCTTTCCAAGCATGATGCCCTTGTCCAAGAAATAGCCTTTCCTAACAACATGTCTGGAGACTAAGGTGCGCCTGATACAGGCCATGGTCTTTGCAATCACTTGTTACGCATCAGAGAGTTGGACAATGACTAAGGAGGATAGAAGGAGAATTGATGCCTTTGAGCTATGGTGCTCAAGAAGAGTATTTATTGAGAGTACCATTGACTGCTAGGAAAACAAACAAATTCATCCTGGAAAGGGTTAAACTGGGTGGCTCCTTGGAGGCAAGGATTCTGAGGCTCTGTCTAACATACTTTGGACACGTTGTAAGGAGAGACTGGTCCTTGGAGAGAGACATCATGCTTGGGAGGGTGGAGGGACAGTGCAAGAGGGGAAGACCCTCTATGAGGTGGATTGATTCAGTGACTGGTAATTGGGATGGGAGTGTCAGAGGCAGTGTGATTGGCACAGAACAGAGCAGAGTTTAGGGCTGTTGTACATAGGGTCGCTATGAGTCGCAAGCGACTCGACGTCACATAACAACAACAACATGTCCAAAGTAGGCAAGATGGAAGCTTCACCATCATTGCCTCCAAGAAGCATTTTGGCTGTATCTTTTGTAGGACATGTCTGTAACCACTAGATGGCAGAAAATTAATTCTCCTCCGTTGGTCTCCTATAAAGATTTGTAACCTCAGCAACTAGATGGGGGGAGGGGGGCTGGTGACGGTTGGTTGGTTTGTATTTACATTGGTCTAATAAATTTGCTCTTTGAAACTGTCTTTTTCTCTCTTCTAGTCAACATCCCTCGGTTCAGCCACACCTGTGTTTTCTATGAGTTCTCCCATATCACGAAGATTTAACAATCTGTTTGGTAAAACAGGTATGTAATAACTTCTAGAGGTCCCTTCCTGGCTGACTAGAACAAGCTTACCCTGATGGGAGCCCTTCACTTCCACCTCAAGCCCCTTAAACACACATGCATACATATCTCTCATACCTTCACTTGCAAGGGACTCATTTGCTAAAAGGTAAAGTATAGAAGCTAGCTTCATTTTCCTAAACCACCAGTAAGCTTGTACACAGGGCCTCCCGTTGACAACCAATAGTAACTCATAAAGAATTAGGTCTACAGAACCTGGATATGCCTTTTAAGAACTGCCTTTCAAAATTGCATCAGTAATGAAAATGAGGTACTTTAAATTGATGGCCTTTTCAAACATAGAGCCTTTTTCTACTTCATATGAAATGGAAAATGATAGGTGCCATTTCTACGTCACAATGTAGCAAAAAATTCATTTAGAAAACCGTACTATAGGGCCCCAGGCTATGGGGTTCTTTTCCCTTTTTAGGGTGTGTTTGTTTTTCCACCCTGACATTTACGAGACTGCATGTGGATATACGCAGGATCATATTAGCAACATGTGAAGTTAAGATTTAATATGTATGGATAAAATTCTCACCTTGGAAAGAGGGACTGATGGCTTCTGGCCTCACTATCAGCTATTCCAGAAAATTGAATGCCCACCAGATGCCATCATCTGCCTATGAAAATAAATATGTAGTAAACATTTTGTTGTTGTTATTTGCCATTGAGTCGGAACCAACCTGTAGGTGACCCTCTACTGGGTTTTCAGAGACAGTTAATTGCATGGGAGGCAATTGCCCATCCTTCTCCCACAGAGCAGCTGGTGAATTTGAACCATGTGCCTTCAAGACTGCAGCACAGCTTCTTACCACTAGACTAGATTTAATGTGCACAATTAAAATTCCCACCTTAGACATAGGAAATAAATAGAAGCAATGACTTTACACAGTGGTATCAGCTTTTTTAGCAAATTGAATCCCTGTCTGATGCAATCATCACCCCATGAATATAAGCATCAAAATCCCTTCCAGCTTCTTGATACTGGGCAGATCTCACACTTTCATACATGAAGAATCTAGAAATGTGTCGCTATTACAAACCAAGCCCTTTCATATAAAAGTCAACTTTGGGAACATTTCTATATTTCTAAAATTCCAAAGTACATGGTATTTTCCGTTTTCATGTAATGAATGATGTGTGAAAACTCAAGGACCTTCATTTTTTATCTTAAACAGATTCCATCCGTTGTGAAAGGACCACACATTGAAGGTACATTAGAACTCTATGACCCGTTGTCAGCACACATGTGCTATTTGCATTCACGTGAAAATGATGCAAACTTTATGAACTAATTCTACAGAATCATAATTATGCAATGAGTAAGATGACATCAGTGTGGTTTCTGAGGCAGTCAGTTAAATTTCAGTGTGGGCACTCTTTCTGTAATCAACTGGGTATACCATACTGAGATTCCTGGTCTTTGTCACTTCACATCTTCCCAAGGCTCACTGACACAGCTTCCCCTTTGGCTCCTTCAAGAGTTCCTTAATCACTGTAACTTTCGTTTATGTTGTTGGCAGCCCCAAAGACCCCTCCCAGACAATGAAGGAAACCTTATTAACGGTGGCAGTTCATGAATGTGATGGTAGGGTGGGCACCATGTCCCTGTTCCTGATTGTGCCCAAGCCACACTCCCTACTTTCCCCTAACACTCAACCCCTGCCTTTGTGCTGACGTGAGTCTGTGTGGTTGCTGGGGCTGCCCTCCCTGCTGCACTGGCTCTCAGCACGTTTGGTGGCCTCCCTTGACTTCTCCTGGTCCTACCTTTCGTCTCCTGTGATTTGCCCTTTCTGTGATTTGCTCTTTCTCCTCTCTCCAACCCTTTGCATTTCAGCTGAGGTTCCAGATCCTTCCCAACAGCTTTCCTAAGTCACCATTAGCCCAATGGAGTACCCCATTGCATGGAGGTATCCCATGCAGTTGTCCCCCACCAATGCATGGGGTGGCATGAGGAACAGCTGCCCACTTTCAAGCCTTTCTTTTGTAGAACTCTGGCTGCTGGTATGACATGAAGTAGATATTGCTTGTCAGCTGCAATGCATGCTTGAGAGAGGCAGCCTTGTGTGTCCCCTGCATCTCTGGCGTTTGGGAGAATACCAAGCATGGGTTTATTTCCAGGCTTGGCCAAGCTTACCTGACTCCTGCACAAGGGCTCCCTACCGGACCATTAAATGAAGCCTACACCCTATTGGCCACAAAGGCCTGTCTTTAACATTGGATGGTGCTCTCTTTGCAGGAACATACAATGTTTCAACTCCAGAAACAACCAGCTCATCCCTGGAAAACTCATCCAGTGCCTACTCATTACTCCACTAAGAACTGGAACACCCAGCCCGTCTGGCTTCTTAAAATCAGTCCGTGTGCTCAGAAAGAAGAAAATCCTCCCAAAGCCGTGGGTTAAGCATTTACTCGGCAGGCTTTTCAGGAGCTGATGCTGAAAAGACTTTTTCATTAAAGGAAGAGGCTTTCTTTGGAAAGACAGACTAATAGTCATTTCATTGTTCATTTTTACTTCCCTCCATTCTTGTGTGATACCAGATGTGTATAGTATTTAAGTGAAACTCAGATCTCCTCCTGAGCTGACTTCTTTGTCTATATTGTAAAATACGATCTTGAAGAGACATTTTCACTTTTCAAACACTAGGCACAAAAACAAGCTCATATTATAGAAATAATAAGTAAAAGTACCGAGCAGGACTTTCCAAGGAATTCTAATGAAGGAAGAAAAAAGGGAGGGAAAAGAAAAGTCTAAGGAAAAGTGACATTAAGGACCATATGTTAAAATTTCCATATTGATGATGTACTATAACCACCCAGATACTATGACCTTAAGAGTAGAAAATAACTTAAAAATGGAAATGAAAAATAAGTCATTGGGAAAACAGTTTGATATTTTTGTAGTCAACAGAAAAAAGAGAAAAAAAATAAGAGACAGTGGAGGAAACTGAAAGGAAATTATATTACTGGGATGTTCCAAATGGGTAATAATATTTTCAAGAAATCAATGGCAGGAAAGAGCAGTCTCCTGATGTTAAACACATACAGATCTCGCTTTGTATGTTAAGGTTTGAGTTAAGTGGAATGAATCTGCAGAAAAGTAAGATAGATATGTTTTATCAGACCTAAGCCAAAACAAACTGCTGATTAAATGTTCTATAACCAGTAAACTCCTAGAGACAGTGTGCATCAGAGTAGGCTGTGCTTTGTGAAGATTTCAATGGCCGATTTTTGAAAGAAGATCACCAGCCGCTTCTTCTGAGGCACCCCTGGGTGGACTCAAACTTCCAACTCTCAGTTATCAACCAGCATATTAACTGTTGGCACTATCCAGGGATGCCAAAGTTTCTATATTTTATGAGAAAAGCCATATATTTTGATTTATTCCATATTTTGAAGACAAAAGTGTTTATTTTTGATACTTATTAATTACCAAAGTTGACATATTGCACTGGAGACAGAACCAGCTCTCATAGATTTAGCAGCTTTAACCAGGTACTTCTCTGTGCATTATAAAATAGATTTTAATAAGCTTATTCTGCATTGTATATTATTGTTGTTATTGTTACTATGGTTTGAATACTTGGTGTGTTGTATAGTTCACTATATACTATTTCTTTCAACTTTTAAGTGGCCAGACCAACATATATTCAGATTTTTTTTTTAATTATCTAATTTGCGTTTTTTTCCACCTGCTTGGAACCTTGGATGGGACACTGCCAAAGAGAAATTTTATAGCTGGTGATGCCATGATTCAAATGACACTTGAATTTATGAAAACACGGTGGAGTTTTTTTCCTAAAAGAAGTGGTTTTTTGTGAATTGTGTGCATGCATTTTATAAAATATTCTAAATATTTATTACATTTGCATCCATGTTAAAACGAAACAGGAAAAAAAAAAACCAAAAAACTAAACCGGGTGCTGTGGGTACAGTTACCTTACATTCCAAAGCAAATGCTGTTCTTGAAGGAAAAAATGAGACAGTAAAAGATAAAGGTCGTGTGGTCTTGATAACAACTCAGCATATAGAACCTTTAAGAAGATGGACTGAAGAAATTAAAATTCATATTGAGGTTTGAAGAGTTTGCTTTTAATATTGCCCTTATTGTTTTATGCAGTGGAATCAGAACCAACTCATAGCTCACTCTCTGGTGGGTTTTCAGAGGCTGTAAGTTGCATGAAAGAAGACTGTCTTTCTCTCATGGAGCATCTGGTGGATTCAAACCTAGTGCTTTTGGGTTGGCAGTACAACTCTTTGCCTATTAATAGCTCTTTAAATGTATTCCTCGTGTTTTTAAACTTTAAATTTTATTTTTTCTCTCTTGTTCATGGAAAAGAGGAATAATAATTTATTTGTAGGACGGATAGGAGTCCTAATAAGGGTTAAAGAAGAATTCCTTATTTCCATACTTTTGAAAAAATGGTGTTGACGTTTACTCCCACATTTGTGTAAGAATTGCTGAGTCATTTCCTCCACTCAGTAGTGCACTATTTAAAGTTCCTAATGGAAATGAACAGTAGGCTAAGAGTGCAGACAAAGTTCCCTGAGGAATGAACCACTTGAGAGAGAGTACAAAGAAGAAAGAGCTAAGGGTGAGGCAATGGATTAACTGTTGGACTTCTAACCAAATGCTTGGTTCAAATCCATCAACTACTGCAAGAGAATGTTGAAGCAGTCTGCTTCTGGCAAAAAAGACTTGGAATCCCTAAAGGGAAGTTCAACACTATCCTATAGGGTCACAATGAATGAGAGATATTGAATAGTCTCAATGTCAGCATTTTAAAAAATATTGTTTAACAGAAAGAATGTCTAATGTGGAACTGTGTGTACATTGTTTCTAGAGTTACATTAGAAAAAAGAGGCAGGGTTAGGGCAAAATGGTAGCCTGTGAGTCTTTACATGATCCCTCAAAGAACATTCAAGAGGACGCAGGAGATCTCAGATTGAAAAATACGAAAAGAGCAAGGCTTGAACTTGAACTTCCGCCAAGCTCAATCACTTAGGAATCCTTGTGTTCGGTGCTGTGAACAGGAACCTCCATCAACTGAAATGCTATAGAATAAAGACCTGGGCCTCGACTCACATCATTAACCAAAGCAAGTTGGCTTATCCCCACCACATATGTACATGAAAACACACAGACAAGCATATGCCACCATCTTTCAGGCCACAGTATTGGATCTATTTAATAAAAAAACAAAAACATAAAAGCAACTACAGAAAAACTTGGAGAAATACTTTCTAGTGTCTAGTAAGAGACATAGTTCACTTCTGTCCTTTCCCAAGAAAATCTTAAAATAGTATAATTCAAGTATAATTCAATAGTATAATGTAAAAGAGAATGGGAGTCCACAATTCTGTAAATTACATGAAAGTGGAGCCTTCACTTAGCCCTGAGGTCATCAATTCTCTATCAGCAATGTATGCAAGGCCATTCTGGGGAAGGAAGAGGATTTGATTGTGATATGGGCATAAAGTAAGACCTGTGGACTTCCTTTGTAGAGGACACAGTGTTCTCGTGTTCTTGGAAGCCCTCAGTAAGCCAAGTTGGTTCCATGTGCCAAAATAATTTTCCTTTAAGGGAACTTCCATTAAATTGGTTTTCTTCCAAAGAGGCCCTGCGTCACTGGATCATTCACAAATGAGCAGTTAATATAAATTACAGAAGCAATCTCTTCTGGAACATTATAAATCCAGAACAACACATCTTTCAGCTCTTAAATAAGTCAGTATCTGTCATCCTTATACCCATTTTTTACTGGCTTCATGGGGGAAGAAAGAAATTAATGTTCATGGTGTTTTGGGCATGTCTGTTGGTGAGGTCAGAAGTAAATAGACACACGGAAGTGGCAGTCTCTTGTTTGTATGGGAAATGTTAGAGATAAGTGTTGGAAAGCTTTAGTTACATGGTGATGAGAATGATTATAACCACAGGCAAGGACAAATGGGAAGCTGAGGAATCATTCTGAGATGAATGGAGCAGAAAGTCATGGTCATAGCTGAAGCCAAAAAGGGAATGAATTTAACCTGAGAGTGGTCTTAGAAATATGGCTTGAGTGGGATGCATTTTATTTATCTTTGATGCAGGTCTCAAGATAGGGTTTCTGTATCCCAAAGTGAAAGCCTGTTGACCCCGGCCAACAGCAGATTCCCAGGTGTCCAAAATAAAGCTGGGGTTTGGAGTTGCCCTCTCTGTATTAAGTATTTTTTTATAAAGACATTAGTAAATGTTCTCCTATTTCAAAGCGGTTGCTAATCTTGACATTGTTAGGTGCTGTAGAGTTGAATACAACTCATTGCAACCTCTGATCTGAACCCTGTCCTGTTCTATCCTATGCCATCATCTCGGGGAAGCCCATTGCTGCAGTCTCTGTGTCAATTTATCTGGTTGAGGATCTTCCTCTCTTTCGCTAACCCTACACTTTTCCAAGTATGATGTCCTGCTCCAAGGAATAGCTTCTCCTAACAATATGCCCAAAGTATGTGAGATAAAGCATTGTCATCTTTGCTTCCAAGGATCACTCTGATTATGTTTTGTCCAAGATACATTCATTTGTTTATTTGGCAGTTCATGGGAGATTCAGTACTCTTTCCCAACATCACAGCTCAAAGGTAGCAAGTCTTTCATCATTCTTATCCACTGTCCAGCTCTCAGATGCAAAGCAAGTGATTGAAAAGACCATGGCCTGACTCAGGCACATCTTACTCTTTAAACTGATAATCAGTGCTCCTCCATAATTTGAAGAGGTCCCTGACTGCAGACTCCCCAGTGCAATACATCTCCTGATCTCCTGACTGTTGTTACCAAGGGTGCTGATTGTAGATCCATGTAAGCAGGAGTTGTTGACAGTTTCAATTTTTTTTCTCCATCTAGTATGATGTTGTCTATTGGTTCAGTGGTGAGAATCTTTGTTTTCTTGACATTGAGATGTAATCCATATTTAAGGCTGTAGTCTTTTATAATCTGAAGCAAGTTCCTCAAGTTCCTCAAGTCCTCCTCACTTTTAGCAAGCATAATGCAGGTTGTTCAGTCTTAATGCCACATTCTTCTTCACAGAGTCCATCTTCTCAAATAATTTGTTTGGATATAGACATTGAATAGGTATAGAGAGAATATACAACCCTGACACACACCTTTCTTAATTTTCAACCATGTAGTGTTCCCTTGCTCTGTTCTCACAACAGCCTCTTGGTCTAGGTCTAGGTTTCACATGAGCACAAGTGGTCTTGGATTCTCTTTCTTCTCAGTGTTAGTCATAATTTGTTATGACCCACAGAGTCAAACACCTTTGCATTGTCAATAAAGCACAGATAGG